GGAGAGGAGGCAAGAGTGTGTACGGTAAGCTTGCAATAATGTTTTCTTTAGGTTGTGGTGTTCTCGTTCATGTGGGGGAATTTAATCACGTCAGACCAGCCAGTCAGTGGTAGCACAAGAACAAATAAATCTGGTGACCCTAATTACGTTAATGATGGCCGTACGCCAAGTGAATTTTCAAGCGATTTCACCGGCACATATTTGAATAAAATCATAAGGGTTATGCTGGACATAGGGTGACCAGATAATCCACGATGGGAGGACATTATGAGCTACTTCAGGATTTACAAACTACTTTAAAACTGAAAGGTTGCTTTGCTTGGCCTAATAGTTCAGCTCTTCTCGTGCTTTTGCTGGTTCGTTTCCTTGACTGAAAGACTCATCCAGCTGTTTCACATTAACATTAGTGACACATGCATGATTATAGGACACTGACCAATCAGCACACAGCAAGAACTCAGTAACAAAGTGAAATCCAGGTCTTTTTAATTGAAATGGTAATTTACAAAACCTGTCCTAGCTCAATATCCCCCCCCCCTCCCCCCCCGACATGGATTAGTTGGTCACCCTAAGTCAGGGTTGCACAGTCTTATCCACAAAGGGCTGTTGTGTATGTGGGTTTTCGCTGCAACTCCCTAATTAGAGGTCTGATTGGGTGAACAGTCCTCACTCCTGGGTTTGAGCAGCTGACCTAAAGGTTACCCCGGAAACCTGCGTACACACCGGCCCTTTGCGGATAAGATTGGCCACCGCTGCCCCAGGTGGACTTGTGGCATCCTGCTGTCTTCAATTGTTCGGTGCATGGAGGTCAGGATTGCTGTTTTAAGTGACTCTTTTTCTCGTCTTGACATTCCAATCAAATCAATTGTGTTTAGAATGATCATGGGTGTTTAGCCTTGACACGCAAATAGTGACGTGGATGGTCAATAAGCCAATCAGACAGCCCTCTTCAGCACCAATCAGTAAGTAACAAAGCGGAAACAGTATCTCAGGTAAGGTAGATTGACATGGAAGAGATTCTGCAAAAACAGTATTTACAGTACAAAGGTACGGTATTTTGAATGCAGGCTGCATTGCATTTCCACTGCTATTTAAAGTTACTTGTCTGCTCTGCACTGCTTTATCCTGTTGTGCAGTGTTATTTTTCTGTACAAAGAAAAGTTGAATAAATACACATTTTGCTGGTTATTGCTTTATTCCATGTAAACCAAAAGCATGTACATGTACAGCAGTAAAACATTAACCTTTATTACAAAAATAAAACAAAATCGAAACGAATCTAATTGCAGTCTTGCAAAGAATGATTCTGCAAGATCCCCAGTCTTTGCAAAATCATAGTTTGTGGGGGGAAAAAACTGTAAATAATAACACATTATTATCTTTGGATATGAGTCAGATGCCAGAAGAACTTCACCTGCCTGACTGCATTGTGGCAACTGTAAAGTTTGGTGGAGGAGGGATAATGGTATGGGGTTGTTCATCAGGGGTTGGGCTAGACCTCTTAGTTCCAGGGAAGGGAATTCTTAATGCTTCAGCATACCAAGACATTTTAGATAATTCTATGCTTTGTGGGTACAGTTTGGGGAAGGGCCTTTTCTGTTCCAGCATGACTGTGCCCCAGTACACAGAGCAAGGTCCATAAAGACGTGGTTGATGAATCTGGTGTGCAAGAACATGACTGGCCCACACAGAGCCCAGACCTCAACCCCATCAAACACCTTTGGGATGAACTAGAATGCAGATTGTGAGCCGGGCCTTCACGTTCATCAGTCACTGACCTCACAAATGCTCTTCTGGGTGAATGGGCAAAAATTCCCACAGACACACTCCAAAATCTTGTGAAAAGCCTCCCCAGAAGAGGGGCAGCTGTTATAGCTGCAAAGGGGGCCCAACTCCTCATATGCAGGATTACACTTATAAGTGGCCTCTAAAGTCATTTTATGAGTTATTTAGCAGGAAAATGCTAACGTTGTTATTTCAGTAAAATCAGGAAATTCATATATTTTATGCTGATTTGATCTCAGTAGGACATCAGACAGAGCCATGTGACGTATACAAGGGTCCTTATCTAACCTTGTTTGATAAAATCTTAAATAATCAGCCGTCCCACCCACCAAACTCGGTTAACAGCTTTCACCACATCCACAGAATGACTTCATCATTGTAGAAATCAGTTTGAGGGTCTCTGACAGCTCAAACAGCCCAGGATACATATCGTAGTGATTCTATGATCATGTCATTCTTCCATTGTAACCTGCTGGCTTGTTCACATACTTTTAAATCCTGTGAACTTCCGCTCCCTTTGATCTTTTCAGCCTCTAGCAGAGTGGATTAAAATCAAAATAGTCATCAAAGTTAAAATAACAGCCAAGACCACAATACTAAATAAAGATCTGGCAGTTGTAGAAGAGAACAGCAGAAGGAAGGTGGAGGAAATGGTGAAAGACAGTGGCACAAAAAACAGATGACAGAGAAATCCAGCTCTACTCCAAGAGTTTGTGTCATACCAAAGGTAATAGTCTGTATTAAAAAAAGGGACTGATTTTTTTCTGTTTGTTTTTTGAAAAACACTTGCGTCTGCGTATAAAATGGTCTATTTCAATCAATTTTCCTTCACTTAAGACAGGCTGACCAGATTGAAAATTTTGATTGGCCCCAGGCTGGAGCATGTGCTGCTCTGATTGTACAGGAGTTGGGTCCAAGCAACTAGAGGCGGCAGGACCAGCCAATTAGATGTCTTGGTCCCGCCTCCTCTAGTTGCTTGGACCCACCTCCTGTATAATCTGATTGGGTATCTCTCTGAACCAATAATTTTTTGTTATGCCCTCAGAACATTGTTGTGTGGGTAAAACTCCCATAAGCACCGTGAACAAACATGAAGGTTGGTGAATGAACAGAGCTGTTTCTTGCTATATGCGGACTATGTAGATGCATAGGGCCCCTGCAGCACTAGGGCCCCCCAAGCTGCAAGTTCAGCCTCAATATATTTGGGGAAAAGTAAAATTACCTGTGTTCATTTGTAGATTTAAACTGCTAAACCTAAATTGTAGGTTTAAGTTGCTTTGGTCAACTTGACATCTTTAATTTCAATTTTAGATTCGTGAATCTAGCCTGTTTTCTTCTTAAATTGGAACAAACTGATGCATCACCATGGATCATCTTAAAGGGTTTGAATTCCCCCTGTCATAGTTTTACAAAATAGGGGCCCCCAAACAGAATCTTGCACAGGGCCCCCAAAAAGCTAGAAATGGCCTGTGAATGAAGCCCCATACAAAACGCTCTTTATGCACTTTAAACTAAACAATCACAAGCTTGCATAGCTTGCATACGGAACTTCAGATGAATAAATTAAACTTGATTGATTGTCTATTGAACTACTAATGAGCGAGTAACGCTGTCTGGCTGATGGGCAGTCAGTAGCTCCCAGGATGAAGATTCAGACTTTCATCTCGAAAGACCAACCTGAATTACTTACTGGCATTTTAACATTCCAGTTATTTCTTTTGTGGCACCAGTTCCTATAATGTGCCGTCGTTATTTATCAAGCTCGAAAGCCGCTGTATTGTTAATAAATAAATAAATAGCCTATGAATATTCAAAGATCTTGTCGCACCTACAAGAATACTGTTAGCACTTCTGTGACTAAATCCTGTTACATAATTCGACTGTGCAGTGCAAAAATATGAGAAAGCCATCTTCCTGGTTAATATGTTCTGTAAGCACGCCTGGCTTATCTGGGACAAGAAATTTACATTTAAAGTCAGCAAATACTAAGTAATATTGCTGTTTGTGTTTTTTTTATAACCAAAAGGGGGAACGTTTACATCGTATTTACAAACAAGGACACAGCTGACATCCGTTTCCATAGGCATTTATCACAAAGCAGGATCTTTGCTTAGCCAGATAACTTGTCGGATTTAAGGTAGTGTGGGCTAAGATGAAGTCTTTAATTTCTTAAGTAAATAAAGCAAAATAAAGGTAATAGACAGAAAGTTAAACATAAAAACAGACGCGGTGAATAATAAACTATCTGACCACTAAAGTTACCTGCAAGTGTTAGGTATATTGAAACTTTGACCCCATAAGTGTATTTATTGGTTTTATTCTCCAGCTTGGAGAGTCTAGCTGATTATTTTGGCATCACATTTAACTATCTGGGCTCTGCAGATCTCTTGACGTTTTTCTGATTTTCCATAACAGCTTTGCTCACTCCTTATTAATGAATCGTAATCGTAACTTATCATAGTTACTGCCCTGCACAAACGTTTCATTCTGTATCTATCTAGCAGTTTGTCTGCATGGACATCAATACGCACAGGACAGTTTCCCTTGTAAACTTTGCTGATCGGGGGGTGGGGGGGGTCCCCTCAGTAGATTCTGCCTGGACCCTCTTCTGGTTATCAGACCCTAGGCAGCTGCCTTGATGTGTACAACTATCATTAATACAGGGATTGTGTCTATAAATAAATAGCAGGTATAATAATTGTGACTGACGAAAAACTTGCCAGTTGTTTATTGAAATGTTTTAATTGAATCTAATTGTGTATATTTTTATTAAAAGCATGCAATGTATGATCTATCATTTTGAGATTGGTGTTAAAATATAATGTATTGCTGTAGACTGTAGGCAAAAGTATTTAAAAAACACTAGACATTAAAACATCCATCTTTCAACCAATTATCATATACAAGACCCTAGAGTCTACTGCAGACAGCATAGGGCCCAAGAGAAGGGTGCACGTTGGCTTGGATGCCAGTCCGTTGCAGGGCACACACACAATCACAGACTACAGGCAGACAGCATAGGGCCCAAGAGAAGGGTGCACGTTGGCTTGGATGCCAGTCCGTTGCAGGGCACACACACAATCACAGACTACAGGCTAATTAGACACTGGAACACCCAGCTGCATGTTTCTGCATTGTGGTTGGACACTGATGGAAACCTGAGCATCATGCGAGAAAGAAATAAGCTAATTTAAAAACGAGAATAAATCAATGTATTAAGTAACTACCATCCTTTGTTGTCATAATTAAAAAAACTAACCAATAGTTTTAGTACATTAGTTCACTGGCAATTTCCTTGTAGAGGGTCCATGTTCAAAAGAATACAAAAAATCTATTAGCTTCTACTTTTGCTGGTAATCTGCATTTATCATGAAACAACTTTTACGACAGCTATTAAAGTATGCCTGTTGTTTTCAGAGCCAGTACAAGGAAAGATTGAGTTTTTTTAACACAAACAGAACATGCAATCACATTAGTTTATTATATCAAAAATTATAATCTTGTCCATGACAAAAGAAAATACTGCAGTGAAATACAGCATTCTATAGAAGAAAACCAAAAACTTTCAAATCATACATAGTACACACTACTAACATTTTTTATGGCAAAAAGTCAAACACTAAAAATGTAACTTGAAACAAATGGATCCTAAAACCCAAAGCCTTGTAATGTAACTCCATAACTTCTCTAACAATCTAGGAAGTTTGCAGCCATGAGGAGCTCCAGTGCTATCTCCGGGGCAATGGGGAATTCTGGGATTTCCGTTGAACTGTTGGTGTAGCGAACTTTGTAGGTGAAGTACATGCACACTTTGGAGAGGACATGAGAGGGAATCTCTCTAAAATTGACTTCGTTGGTTTCATTTTCTGCAAATTGTCCTGGTAAAAATAAAATAGTGTAAGCAAAAACAATGTCAAAGAAACACTGATAATCCATAAAGGCACAAACTAGTAAACAGGGACATTTCTGCTTGTTTTTTCCCCCCACAAAAGTCTCTAATAAATTTGCCGTATCCTAATATTAAATAAACGCGTCAGACTTTACACCGCAAGTGCTGCCACACCAAGAGCATCTTTTTCACCTTGTTTAACCACAATATCTCCTCTTTTAAAAGATATTATGGTTACTGAGCTGCCCCTTTCTTCTCCGCCACTGCAGTGCTTATGGCCTCCATGATTTACCAAAGCACGAGTGTATGGTGCGTGCCGCTAACAGAAATTAATGAACATAAGGATACGGCGGGTTTATACAGATTTCTAACTTTTGGGCACCACAATATGCCTCATTAATATTTTAGGCATGCTACTGATCTGCTAACCAAACTGTGAGCGTAAGTAAATGCCCGTACGTTATGGAAAAACCAGCATCCTGACAAATGTTTATGCCGTTCATCTACAGCCCTGGTGGTTGTTGTGCACGCGCCATTTAACTGTGATTATACTACGATGAGACACTGTGCACCCCTATCAAGAACTTTATCAAGAACACATAAGTAAAATAAATGCACTGTGGATTTACATGTATAGCATATAACTGTAAAAAGTGAACATTACAAGATGAATGTCTACCCAAGTAAACTGCAGTAGTTGCCAGTATACTTCCCTTTGAAAAGATAAGCTATGACAGCGAGCCGAGTTATTGAATATTGTTACACAGACGAGGTGGCATCACGAGGTGAACTCAGCTGAGTTCAAATCCCACCTCCACCCTGCGTGTTCAAATCCCACCTCCACCCTGCGTGTTCAAATCCCACCTCCACCCTGC